TTCGTACGGGTGGGGAGGGTTTACATTCTCCATTTCAGGGGAGGCTCCTGCCTTCCTTAGCAGACTCCTCTCTTTCCAAACCAAGACACTGGGTGATTCAGGCTGAGGCTGAAGTCCTCAAACTTTTCATTTCTAATTCTTTTAAATTGTTTTATTTATTAATAAATCACAGTTTCTAAATAGTGCTGCTGCCTCCTGGAGGAAGCTGGGGACAGCCAGTTACTCCGAGCTGGGCTGGTGTAGATCCTGTGGTTTTACTGCTCCTTTTCCAGGTGAACTCGGAATTTCTGGCATTTCAGCAAACTGTGAGCTCACATGCAGGGATGTGTGTGTGAGGCAAACTCCATTTTGTCAAAATCCTGAAAAATGCTTAGTTCTACAAGTGCTGTATTAAAATGAGGCAGGGGCTCAGCAGCTCTCACAAGGCTGCAGCTTTTCCTCTCTGCAATTAAAATTGCTGCAGCAGGCACTGATGGACTGTCACTGCAGAAACCCCAGCTAGGCTGCCCTCTCAGGGAAGCTTTCTCTCATATAAGCAGAGAAGGATTTAATTTAACAAGGAAAACCTAAGGAATTGCAAACTAATCTCTACAACCTTCTATTTCTTCCATAATATATATTATAAGGGTTTTTAAAGATCAGACCTTGGCACAAAGAAAAATGCTACCATCAGACCTATTAGGAATAATGACTTTGTAAGAAATAAATTTGTGCCTCATTGACAGGGCTGTGAAGATATGATTTCCTTCTTTGGAATTGCTTAAGCTACAGGAATTGGAGAGTAAACATTTCATGCAGTATGATCCTTTCCCAAGTCAATATTGTCCTTTCAGTGCTGAATTTCAAATTCAATATTATCCTTCCTTAAACAAAGGCGTGCTTGGAAATCAATGCTATTTATCTTGTCTACTGTAGCCATAAACACCAGTTTAATTTTTTATTGTAGATGAGAATGCTTGGAGACTGAAAACTGCAGAAAGAGAAATTCTTCCTATTTTGCTGGTTCCTGGTGTCATTGCTGAGGGTGCATGACAACAGCCACCAACAAAATCACCATTTTCAAGTGGCAGCATTGCTCCTTGCACTATCTGCCTACTATTGGGTTTTGTCCTGTGCTTTAATAAATTTATGACTAAAAGCAAAACACAACATTAAAAAAAATATTTTCAGGTTATCATCTGAGGTCAATTTTTTGTTGCTATGATTCTTCTTTCAGGGGTTTTTTTCATGGTGTTCCAGGTGAATTATTGGATATAATTAAAGTGATAGATCAGAGTAAGCTAAAGCAGAAAATATTCTTTCAAAAAGAAAAGTCCGCACTGCTCGGGCGGAAACTCGTACTACATTTCTCTATTGATTGATCGATCTATCTATTTATTCATTTATTTATTTAAATGAAAAAAAACATCAGATAAAAGACTTCTGAAGAATGGAGAGAAGACCAATAATTTTATTTGGGAGCAACATTAGTGCAGGCAGAGGTTTGGCCTTGCCTGTCAAGAACCACCCTGAAACATTCCATACTGGTTAATGAGTTCTCAAACCAGTTATCCCAGCATGGCCTCACTTCCCAGCTTCATGTCCCTCAGGGATGAGCATATCCAGGGCTTTTTCCTTGTGGGTTTCTTTTTTCCATTTTCCTTTTTCCATGCCCCTTCAGACAAGCTGGCTCTGGTGCTCTCAGATCCAGCAGAGAAATCACATTTTTTTCCCAAAGAAAGTTTACTCCAGTGGCTTCCTGAGGGCAGGAAACCATCTGGGACGTGTTTCAGGACAGTGATCAAGGTCTGGGGTTGAATAAACAAAAGGTAAATAGAAAATACCACACACATGGTGAACATAAGCAACAGAGCTACAGGCCCCATAGCACAGGAGCCCAGCTATTTTCTGAAATTTGCAATGTTTTGCACTATTTAAGGAAAGTGGGGTTGGGTTTTGGCTGTCCTTTCTGCTGTGTTGTGGTGAGCTCTGAGTAGTGGAAGTTACAACAGGAAACCAAACAGGAACAAATAGGGCAAAGGCAGAAGTGATTGTTTCCTGAATATTCAGAGTTCAGCAAGTAGATTATTGAATTCTCTGCCAGCCTCCAGTGCTCACCAGCTGTTCATAACTATTATTTTATATAAATATTATTTTATATATATTATATATTTTATATATAAACATATATATTATATATTATATATTATATATTATATATTATATAGTATATAGTATATAGTATATAGTATATAGTATATAGTATATAGTATTATACATATAATATGTATAATATATATAATATATATATTATATATTATATATATACTTATGTATATATATAACACTATTATTTTTTATATATATATAATTTTATATATATATATAGCTAAAACTACTGTGTGTATTTACACACAATAACTGCTTTCTGGAGGAATAGGCATGCAAAAAAGGTAATTGCAAGTGTCTCTGTTCAAAATGCAGTCAGATTCCTGCCCTTGGACACTCTGGGACTTCTCCATCATGTTTGGACCCTTGGATTTGAATATTTTCTTGATTGCCTGGACTTTGTTTTTGCTCAGGGTGGTTGTGGGCAGTCAAGGACAAAATCCACACTTGGACTTCTCAAGTCAACAAAAGAGACAACAAAAGACATCTGTGGGCCCTTTCTGATGTCATGCAAAAGGCTGGGAAATTTCTGAAGTCTTTTGATCCAAGTTTAGATCACAGATTTAACTGCACAGTGGAGCAGAGCAACCCATGGGTCTTTTCAGTGGCACAAGTGTGGTACTTAGCATTCAGATGGGAACTGGTGTGCTGAGCCAAACCCAATTATTTGCAAATGAAGCAGTGCCACACATCCTCAGGGGGAGGGCTGTAATACCAAGTGCTGGTTTGAAATGTCATCTTTTTTTTGGGAGAATTCTCTATAGATGAAGTTAGCCATTTTCAATCTAATTTTAGACAATCAAAAATAGGAAGTCACTGGAGTTAGCACAGAAAATTTTAACTCTGATCATCAGAGCCACAGCAGATTTCAGCCTGCTCCATTTTGAAAGTCATGACAATGTGAAAAACATTCTTTTCACTAAGATTTGGCATTGTAAGCTGAGCTGGCACTCATGGGCAGTGCTTTAATTATACATTATAGTAACCAGTGTGAAATACTGAGCCTTATTAAGATAGCCAAAAGCCTTCTTTAGAGCTGATTTATTAGAGCTTGAAATTAACTTTTCACAGTCCAGCTCCAAGAGATCAGTAGATAGAGAAGCTCAGCTCTGCCTCCAGTGAGTTCCCCATGGTTATCTCCAGTGCTCTCCACAGTCCCTCCCAGTGCCCAGGCATGGCAAAACCCTGCTCAGCAGCAGCAGCAGCAGCAGCAGCAGCAGCAGCTCTCAGCCTCTCCCCTCCATTACAAACACCAGAGCTGACCCTGGGCTTGCCTGGGAAGGTTTCCTGGGAAAGTGGAGCTTTGGGAAGCCCCCCTGGGCTCTGCTGGGTGCTCGGGTGTGTGGCTGCCCAGCCTGGCTCTGCTGGAGCTGTTCCACACTGGGGTGATTGCAGATGAGCATTTGTGCTGCTCCTGACACCACATCTGGTCAGGATATCTGGGATATCAGGATATTGTTAGGAATTGCCGTGTTAAAGCAAGTCCATAATCTGCAGATCTCTGTGATCATGTTCACAGGGGTCCCAGGATGAGGGAAGAGATGAGGATCTGACTCCATGTTTCAGAAGGCTGATTTATTATTTTATTATATATATTACATTAAAACTATTAATTTATTATATATACTACATTAAAAGAATAGAAGAAAGGATTTCATCAGAAGGCTGGCTAAGAATAGAAAAAGAAGAATGATAACAAAGCTGTTGTCTCAGACAGAGAGTCTGAGCCAGCTGACTGTGATTGGCCGTTAATTACAAACATCCAATATGGACCAATCACAGATGCACCTGTTGCATTCCACAGCAGCAGATAATAATTTTTTACATTTTGTTCCTGAGGCCTCTGAGCTTCTCAGGAGGAAAAATCCTAAGGAAAGGATTTTTCATGAAAAGATGTCTGTGACATCTATCAGCTGAAAATGGGGAGTAGCTCCCAGCTGATGGGATTTTAAAGTAGAATGCAATATGGAGATTGTTTACCCAGAGTGATCGTGTTTTGTTCCCTTGGCCTGTCTGGCCCAGGTATATGTGTGTGAGTTGGGACTGTTGGGGGACAGTCATGAGATTCTGGGCAGTGTGTTCAGAGCTGAGTGTTGGGAGGGATGAAAGTTTGACAAGAAAGTCTCACAGATATGTGTGCTTGGCAGAAAGATTTTTAATGTAGAATCTGAAGAAGGAATAGAGATGGAAGCAAGTTTTGATATAGAAGAAAAGAATTGCTGAGCCAGTCTTACTAGATAACCAAGGAGGCAAAGGGTGTGTTAGTTAGAAGGGGTTTTTATGACTTAGAGCAAAGGATAAACCCACCCCAAACAAGAAGATGTTTTTACCAAGCAGAAAGCACAGGTAAACAAGGCAGCAAATGTTGCAAGTAGAAAAAAGGTCTCAGAATTTTCCACTGCAAGAAAACTGAAAAACAACTTCTAGCTTCAACTGTAATGTACTAACTTTTAGTGATTGGAGAACAGTAACATAAATATTGTAATTATAGTAGTTATGACAGGCTATAGGTAAAAATTAAGGTATGAATTGGTTCTACTGTATGAAGATGCTCAGCAAAGAAAATGCATTGTAACCAAATCAAAGGGTCTCCAGGCCTGCCTGCAGCTGGAGCTGTCAGCTGTAGGCACAGCTCTGTCACCCACAACCCTGGATGCTGTAACTCTTGGATGGAATAAACTGCATTTTGGAGAGCTCCTGGAGTTCCACATCCCTCATTCATGCTCTTACAGCTGAATGCTTGGCAGATTCTGTTTAGATGTAATGTAACATAGTGTAATATAGTATAGAATAATATAGTATAATAAAGTAATTAATTCCCACTGAAATGCATGCCTGTGCTCTCTCTGCAGGTGACCTGTCTGCACGATTTCTTTGGGGATGATGATGTGTTCATCGCCTGTGGCCCCGAGAAGTTCCGCTATGCACAGGACGACTTTTCCCTGGATGAGAGCGGTAACGTCAAACCCACCCTGAGCCCTCACTGCACTGCCCTTCCCTGCTCCTCTCTGAGCTCAATGCTTCTGGTCTGCTTTATGAGACCCAGCACATGGAATTTAACTCTAGGAATGTGTGTGACAGTGTTCACAGGGGTCTCAGGTTGAGGGAAGAGACGAGGATCTGACTCCATATTTCAGAAGGCTTGATTTATTATTTTATTATATATATTACATTAAAACTATACTAAAATAATAGAAGAAAGGATTTCATCAGAAGGCTAGCTAAGAATAGAATAAGAAGGAATTATTACAAAGGTTTGTGGTTCAGACTCTCTGTCTGAGCCAGCTGACTGTGATTGGCCATTAATTAGAAACAACCACATGAGACCAATCCCAGATGCACCTGTTGCATTCCACAGACACAGATAACCATTGTTTACATTTTGTTCCTGAGGCCTCTCAGCTTCTCAGGAGGAAAAATCCTAAGGAAAGGATTTTTCATAAAAAATATCTGTGACAAATGTGTTTTCTGTTGATGGGGTGACAAAACTGTCCTTTGTCTCTTCAAAAAGGAAAGCCCAGAAGTTTCTCCCTTCAATTAGGTAGGAAAAGCCACTTCACAGGCTCAGGGGACATTATTTCAAACTTAAGGATAGCCAATTGGACAGAAGCCAAAAAGTCTCACTTGGGCAATTTACTAGAAATAGACGTGAACAAAGAATCTAATTGCTTTTGTGAGGTGTTTTACCAAGAGCAAGAACCTCTTGCACCTGGCTCGGTTTTTCTCTGTTTGTTATTTTGCCTTTTCTTAAACCTTTTTTTTTCCAACACTGCAACAGAAGCCATCTTGCTGATTTTTATGCCTCCAAGGGTAGCTGAGCTGCCTTGGGTGTTTTATAGACTTCCAAGAGCTTATGAGACCTGGCTCAAGAAGGCTGCTATAACACTTAACATCCTTTTGGGATACTTACCCAGTCAGCAGTATTATAATCAGGCAAATACTGACTGAGGTATAGTCAGAATAAATTAAGTCCTAGAGCATTTTGACATTTACTGCAAAATCGCGGAGTGTTTATACTTTCAATTTTCTCCAGTCACATTCAGATAGGTGCATTTTTCTTGAGAGCTAATCATCCTTATGTAGACACATGCATATTAAAAATGGAAACAAGCAAGAATTGAAAAAAAAGATCACATTTCCACTACTTACTTCTGCTGATTCAAAAAGCAGGGCAATAATTTCCTTTTTGGGGGCATGACTGGGACAGCACTGTTATTTTTCCTTGTTACCAGTGCCAGCAGAAATCTGTAATAATGGGAGTCTCTGTGATCAATTACACCATGAAATCTTTGATTTTACAGAATATACAGAGATTACTTATAGGCCTTACCACCCACCCCACCTGGCAACTGTACCCACCTGTCTGCAGGTGCCAGTGAGTGCAGCAAGAGGAAATTAATGTCATTTTAACCATTTAAACGTAAAAAAAATGTGCTCTCCAAGCATCTAGGCACACCTTCCAAAGCTCTAGGTGTGCTGTGTGAGGAACACAAGCCCCATCCTGTCCTATATGCTGCAAACTGGCTCAGTATTGAGGACCAAAGAGGATTTTTGCTGGATGCCAGGAAGCCAAGCAGCCTCTAATCTCCAAACACCGACTTTTTTATTACTCCCTTCCAAGCCTGATTTTATTTTAGTGCTTCTAAAGTGCTTCTTTAGGTACTCCTGACCTGTGTACTCCAGATGAACCCATTTGATGGTCTTGTGGTAATTCAAAAGAAGCTTCCAAGGTTCAGCTGAGACTTTGCAGGCAGAGAATAAAGCCTGTGGAAGTGATCAGTAAGCTGAGCTTCTCGTTGTTTTTCACCACTCAGCAGTTGAGTCAGCTCCACAGGGAGCTCCACGCTGGAAAACAGCTTGGATGCAGAACAACTGGGTGGAAATCCCAGCCCTCTGCCTCTTCTTCTGGGCACTGCTTGCTTCTCCAGCTTGGATTGCTCTGGCAGAAGGAAGCCAAGTTTGCTGTTGGGAAGGCAGTGAGCAGCTCCAGAGGTGTTTTTGGAGCAGCCTTGCAGCTCCCAGGGAGCAGATGAGGAGCCCCAGCAGTGTTTCCCCATTGTACACCCATCACCCTTTCTCCTTCCATCCATGTGCTGCCAGCAGAGCTGCAAATCCTGAGGTTTTGCAGAGGAGTGTCACTTCATAAAATCTCCTCTGTCATGGGGAAATTTCTCCTGCCTGTTTGGATGACACACACCAGGATTGCTGGTTATTAAGTTCACTCTGGCAGGACGTCAGGAAACAAAAAGAGAAGCAGCACAAGAGAGGATTATGTCATCTTTTTCCTCCTGGCTGCCCACCACAGCTTCCACCCTCTAATCCTGCTCTGAGCACCTTCCAGATGACATTGCTCTGTCCCTTTTGTACCCCCTGGTTTCAGCACGGTGGAAATGTCACACTTTGGTGACATTTAGAGGCCTTTTCACACCAAGCTCAGCACAGCCAGGTTTCCACCTCCTGCAAAAGCTCAGGGATTGCCTCTGACACTTGCCAAGGGCTGAGCTGGAGGAATTCCTCAGAGTCAGCCTTTCTGTGCTGGAAAATGCAAAGCCAGGTTTCCTTCCAAGGAATTACTCCCCTGGGAAGAGCATAAATTTGGAAGCTCTTGCAAAGACCTAACATGAAGTATTTTTACTTTTTTGGTTTATTTTTTTTTTTTAGTGAGTAATTCAGGTGACTAAACACAGCTGCCTGACACCCTTTGAGTCCCCTCACAGCACCAGTACTGCTCTTCATGTATAATATAGCCCCCAAAAATTGGGGCTATATTGGGGCTGGACCTCTACAAGCCTTTTAAGCGACATCATCTGTGAGAATTCAAGTATTTTTGAAGAAAAAAAATCACAACTTTTTCTGTCCCTGATTTACAATTTCCAAAATTGATTTAGCAGGAGAGAAAATAAGCTGACTGTAGGTTTAATTCTTGCCATGCAGCATCCCTGGGGCACAAGGCCTTCTCTCCTGACGTTCTTGTGCTGCATGGCCCAACAGCAAAACTCTCTCAGACCATCCAGAAGGAGCAGAGATGGAGCCTTGGCTGGCTGAGAATGAGCAAAGCCTGGGGAAAAATTGAAGCCAATTACATTTTCATAGATACACTGATATATAATTAAATAACACCTACATTTAGGTCAGACAGCTTGCTTTTGGTTGACCAATTATTTATCTGCTCTGTGCTGCCTTAATTCCATTGGGGACTCCATTCTAGGGGGCCTCAGTGTGGAGCATGTGGGGCTGAGCTGAACTTTTCCATAAAAAACTGCATGTGGAACACGTAACTCACATCTGTAAAAAACACACATTTTTCACATCTTGGTGAGGACAAGCTGTTGGAGGAGATGAGGTGGAACCAGCTTGCATTTGACAAAAAGGAAATCCCTTTTTTATTGCCTTCTTCTTAACTGGGTTAAGTTAATAACTTGAGGGGTGGAAAGTTCCTTTTCTGTTAGCTCTCAATGTAAATAAAACCCAGTTCTGAAGATCAGGCATGCCTGAAATCCTGGGACATGTGGAGGTTTGTTAGCATTTCAGTTCCCCTCTGCAGGACTCTGTGGATCATATTTACATTTTCCACTCTTCCTGGCCTATTTAGTTTTTAAGGAAGCACAGTTGGGGTCCTCATCTGCTCACATCTTCCAGTACATAAATCTGCTGGGCTTGTTTATACAAATCTTGCTGAAAGGGATGAGTGGCCAGGACAGAGGATGTGCTTTGTAAAACCATTTTGTCTCCTTTGCTGTGTGCATCTGAAAAGTTGCAGCTTGTTGAGGACAGGAGAGGCAGGTTCCAGCTGGGTGAAAGCCTCCTGGGGCAGCTGCCCCATCTGCCACTTGGAGGCTTCATTTACAGCACACCATGAGCTGTTTGCTGGCTTTCTGCACCTGCAGGAAGGGCACTCATCATTCCTGGTACTGGATTTTCAGAGGAGTGTGACCATGTTCACAGGGGTCTCAGGTTGAGGGAAGAGACAAGGATCTGACTCCATGTTTCAGAAGGCTGATTTATTATTTTATTATATATATTACATTAAAACTATATTAAAATAATGAAGAAAGGATTTTATCAGAAGGCTGGCTAAGAATAGAATAGCAAAGAAGAATGATAACAAAACCTTCTGTCTCGGACAGAGAGTCCAAGCCAGCTGACTGTGATTGGCCATTAATTACAAACATCCAACATAGGCCAATCCCAGATGCACCTGTTGCATTCCACAGCAGCAGATAACCATTGTTTACATTTTGTTCCTGAGGCCTCTCAGCTTTTCAGGAGAAAAAATCCTAAGGAAAGGATTTTTCATAAAAGATGTGTGTGACACGGGAGGGTTACAGCAAAATAACTGAATTTTCTTGAGTGTTCCCTCAGTCAGTGCTGGCCATTTTCATTGTGCTCAGGAGAGCCAAGGGAAGGGCAGAAAATGTTTGGTGGGAGCCAGCCTGATGCCCACAGAGCCTCAGCACCTTTTCTAGAGGAACAGAGCTGTTCTCTTTGCTCTCCCCTTGACGAGTCTCCTTTCAGCCCTGGACAACAAGGGACAATTTCAGCTTTTCAGCTTTTCACTTGCCCTTCCTGCATCTCTCTGGGCACCAGGCACTGAGCTGTTTCTCAGCAGGGGCATAACCAGGTGTGTCTGTGTTCCTCCAGAGTGCCGGGTGATGAAGGGGAGCCCAGCAGGTGCCACGGGCAGCAAATCCTCGCCCACCCCTCAGAAGAGCTCGGCCAAGAGCCCCGCGCCCATGCGCCGCAGCAAGTCCCCGGCCGATTCAGGTAACCACCAAGATGGTGAGTGATTGTTTCTTGGTGTCTGCCTTTCACTGTGCTCCAGGGAAAAGCACAAACTCCCTGTGCTTGTAAAGAAAACTTGGGTGTCTCTTGGAAACAAGAAGCTATTAAATATTGGGAAGGAATCTCCTGGTTGGTGAAGCGCGGTTGCAGCTTGGGGTTGTTCCAGCCACAGGCTCACAGCTCCTTCCCCAAAAAGTATTTTGAAAGAAGTTTCTATTCCCCAGGCAGGAAATCAAGGCCCACAGTGTTCCCAGATGGTCCCTGCAGATACAGAGTGATTTAGGGTAACCTCCTGTGCAAAGCAAATGGTGATTATTGCACAGGTCAGGAGTGGCTCCTCGCAATCATTATTTAAAGGAGAGCAGTGACCTTGCAATTGCAGAACTGCTGATGGGTTTATTGATGGGACACTGAGACACTCATTCAGTAATGGAAGAGAGGGAAAATGGGAATCCTAATTTGCTGCAGCAGCTTGCACCATTTGAAATGCCTCCTTCCTTCTGCAGCAGCACACATGGGGAGCTGTAGGGCTGTCAGTCCAAGGCCGGGCTGCATATTGCAGTGATTCTGGTAATTGACAGTCTTTAGAGTCATGGAGAGTTTCTGGGGCTATGACTGATCTCTCACCAGCCTGCCTGCTCTGTTCCAAAAGAGAACCAGGCATGGCCTCTCACTAAAACTGCCATATCATCAATTAAACATGTCAAAATTCCAGGAGAGCTTCACAGCTTGAGTTCAGGTGTCCCACAGCATCAACACAGGTGATATAAACCAGAAATTCCTTTTCACCATCATGCTAACGTGCTGCATATTGCATGGGAACATCACACAAGAGCTCATCATCAGTAGAAATGGGATTATTAGTCAGAAAATTCTCTTGGCAGCAGTCAGAAGAATTTCCCTCAGGAAGCAATTCATTTGTTTTGGGTGTGTGGGTGTTCTTCAGCTACCTAAAGGGACAGTGTGAAATGGGTTGGCACATGCCAAGACTCTATATTTTAAAAAATATTTCTTTCTGAGGTAATTTTGCATTCATAAAGTTTTTCTTCAAGATTCAATTGTTGGCTATTCTCAAACTCAGGCTTGCCATAATTTAACCACTTCCACAATCCCAAATGCCTGCTGAAGCTGTGTAGGCACACTGAAACACAATGGGAAATGTGATTTACAAAACCCAGAAGTAACACAGTGCTGTGGGAGTCAGCTCATGCATGAGCAGCTTTAAACCTCCCCTACAAGCATCAGGTGCTGATTCCCAGCAGAAGCAGAGTTTACTGCATGAGCATAGGGTTTATTATGAAATGGCAATTATTGTGTGCCTGATTTTAACTGATTGAGGCACTCCAGGCCCAGGATGGTGACTCATCTGATGAGCTTTAATGAACACACTTAGCAGAGCTTTTCAGGGGGAGATTAAAACAACCAGAAAGGCTGAACAATAACCAGTTCCTGGAGTTAAGGTCAGTAATGAAGAGCAAATCAGGTTTCTTTAATCCATCCAGACAAGAGTCTTTCGTGCTTTCCTGTAATTTCAATAAAGGAAAAAATGGCACTTGTCCTGCTTAATAAGAATAAAAAGACTGAGCTCTTTTAGTACTGAAAAATAGAAGACTCTTGTTTTCTCAGGACAGAGAGAAAAAAGAATACTATTTTGTATTCTTGTATTGAACTGGTAATAAACTAAGTGGATTTACACATCTTATAAGAACCAATATTTACATTTAGATGAGATTTTGGAGTTATCACATTCAAAAAGCAAAGAAAGCTGAATGAAGTCTGATTAATAAAAGATGATCTGACCTATTTTTTCCCCCCAGAATCTCACCCATTTAATGTGTGAAACTATTTAAAAGCAGTTTTACTTCAAATATATGCAATATTTCTGCTGTGTGTTTGCTCTCCTACCCATTTGTACCTTTTGTCTTTGTTGTCTTTCCCTCTGCTGTGGTTGTCATGTGAAAACTCATGAGCATTTCCTTGGTTTTGTGTTGTTTCTGTTCTTCCCAGTTCTTTTCTGTGTAGGTTTCTGTATCCTTTTTTTCCCCTCCAAGGTCTCCAAGGCCATTGTGACAGATCTGGGCCCTGATGTCTGGGCAGGTTTGGAGGGGAATCTTTGGGTGAGAGGAGTCTGAACTCACATCACAATGAGCCTTACTGAAAAGCTCAATCCCTTTAGGCAGCCAGAGCCCTTCAGCTCCCAGGATATCCAAAAAAGTGAGGTGGCAAATCCACAGAAGCAATTTAAACATTGTTTTCTTGGCATGGTGCATTTCTCTTACCGTGCAGTCATTTAAATGCATGAATGAAAATGAAATGAATGAATGCAGAACACAGAAATGTCTCCCTGTTCTGAGGAGATGGGAACTCACCCCAATCCTTGTATTCCCAAGGGAAATCCTTTCTCCCTTCCCTCACTAACACCCAACCCATATCTGTCCTTCCTAAGTAATGCCAGTGGATTTCTGGCAGAATTTGAGTTATTACAAAGCTTCTGTGTATTTCTAACATCAATCTTTCTTCCTAGGGACTCAGCTTTGCTAAAAGAGCCAGCTCAGAGCAGTGAAATCCATACTAAACCACAACTGCAGGGCACCAGCCAATTCCTTCTCCTAGGCATGGCAGAGGAAAACTGGGCATGAGGAGCCTCTGTGCTTCTGCTCTGATCCATGAGATTCAAATGGAGTAGGGTCAGCAGGAAGTTTGGCAGAATTTCTTTAACAGACTGCTCCAATAAGGAGTCAGGCTAAGCAGAAGCCAGAGCTAAATCTCAGGGGAGAAATACAGGAGAGAAAATAATGATGTCATTTACCATTCTTTCTTTGTTATAAAAACTTGAATTTATCTTACACTAACTGACATGCCAAACAAGGGTTCAGATGTATAAAAACATGTGCTGTGATGGAAGAGCTTATGATTATTAAAACCAGGACAGAGTCACTGAAATTTGAAAATGTCTTTGCTTTGATTTGGCCTGGGGAGAATATGAGCAGGGCTCTGAGGCTGCTGCAGGACCTTTAATGTCTCAGTCCACTAATGGACAGAGGGACAAAAGCACATTCAGCAGGCAGCAGCAATTAGCAAACAGACCCAGAGTGTCCGTCTGTCCTGGCTGCAGGGCTGCTCCCAGGGGTCATTATGGATGAGTGTGTCCAAGGGCAGCAGATGTCTGGGGAATGCCATGAAGCCTCAGGTTTTGGCTTTTATATTTCTCAGATTCTGTGCTGCTTTGGTGTGTGGGTCTGGGCTTCACATGAGGGGATGGTGAGCTCTGTGCACAGGGAGACAAAACAATTCCTGCTCCAGCTGGGACCAAGGACAAATGATCCAAATCTCAGCCCAAGAGCACAAACAGCGTGGGCTGAGAGAGGAAAACAACAAGGATGGGACTGCATGGGCTAAAGCTGGAATTGGGCAATTAACTCTGAATCCAGAGCCCCAGTCATCCCAGGAAACCTTAGTAACCCGCAGGGAACAATTCCATGTGAGCAAACTGGCTAAAAAAGGGCCTCAAAAAAGGATGAAGAGGGACTTTTGACAAGGGCATAGAGTGATAGGACAAAGGGGGATGGACTTAAGCTAAAGGTGGGCAGGCTTAGACATTAACAAAAAATTCTTTGCTGTTAGGGTGGGCAGACCCTGGCACAGGTGCCCAGAGCAGCTGTGGCTGCCCCTGGATCCCTGGCAGTGCCCAAGGCCAGGCTGGACAGGGCTTGGAGCAGCCTGGGACAGTGGAAGGTGTCCCTGCCCTTGGCAGGGGTGGAATGCGGTGAGCTTTAAGATCCCTTCCAACTCAAACCACTCTGTGATTCTAAAATATCTGTGTGGGGGGAAGCAGACAGAGAATTCAGTTTCTCTGGATCTCTCATCTCAAACACAACAGGAAAATTCTCCCTCCTCCCTCTCATGTGCTGACAGGTCTGATTTCTCTCCTGAGTACAAACTGCCTCGTGCACAGGGGGAGGTGAGGATCCTGTGGAAAAAAGGTGCACGTGCTCCTGCAATTAAAGAGTATTACATATTAAGGTAAATTGATGTTGCAGAGCATATACAATGCCATGAACAAGCCATAATGCACAAAGAATAAAATGGTGGGGAAACCCCAAAGAACTGAAAGGAAAGCTGGTTCTAAAGAACAGTTCCTGATAGCTGAGTGTAGGTGAGATCCTGAGCTACCCTAAATCATCGGCAGATTTTAGTGGAGCCGCAGTGTTATGCACCACCTGGGGCCTGCTCTTTGCCTCCTGTTATTTTCTTGCATTTCAGTTCAAAGGAAATGCAGGCAAGTTTGCTTTTGAGCACTATTCTTCATTAGCAGGCAGAGAAAATTAAACTGGGCTTCTTCATTGTTGCTCCTGCTGCAAAATTCTGCTGTCTTTGTAATGATATCCATCCATCTCATTCCATTTCTGATTTGGATGTCACATCTGGTTTTTTGTTGATGCTAATAAAATATTTACAATGCCTGCTGTAGCACTTAAAACTCTCATTGTATTAGGGAATTTCTGGCCTGCCCTGCAGCAATCACATCCATTTTGCTGCACACTGGCTCTGCTGTTGTTCCAGTCTTGTTTAAGGAAAGGAAATTGGGGTTTCTTGCAGAGTTGTTAGGTGGCATTCTTCAGCTTAGGAAGGATCAGTGACAATTGGAGATAAAGAAAGAGGCATTTTAGAAATTGGAAATGGATTTTAGCTAATGGAGATTATATCCGTCCTCTTGTTCCCCACATTTTCTTTAATAGGAAACACAAATTCACTCAGTGAAATAAAACATAAAAGAGTTCCAAGTTATTTTTTTTACTGAATTGCCTTCATTATCTGGCATACAGTTAGAGAATTCTACTTTGTTTCCCACCAGCCTGGAGGGCAGAGTTTTGTAGAGTGGCACAGCTCAGTGCAGGAGCCAGCAGGAAACAGCTCCTGCCTTTCCAGAACAGATTTTTCCCACTATCAATAAAGCATGGTTTGAGTAAGATAAGGAGGTGAAGTGTCACTCTGTTCCCCAATTATCTATAAATCATTATTTCTACCACCTTTTAAAAATATCCATTTCCTCAGTTAGGTGCATTTGTAATAGGAAAAAAAGCTGTGTGTGATGAATACCCTCCTCTTCCAACAGGAAAGGATGGATGTGAAGGCAGAGGAGCCACACCACCATGAATTTGTGGCTTTAAGGTGCTGGCAGCTCCTCCTTTGTCCCAGGGCTTTGAGCACGTGAAAAACGCCAATCACTTGTTTTTAAAATTTTAAAAGTTTAATAGTAATAAAATGGTTATAAAAATAGTATTACAATTATAATAATAATAATTTGGACAATTTGGATTAGGACAATAAGAGACAATAGAAACAAAGAGTTATGGACAGTGTGGGTACCTCTTTCTGGGCAGCACAAGCCCGAAAAGGACCCACGTTAACAGAGGATTAACCCTTAAAAACATCATCCTGTTGCATATTCATACACCTCATCCATGATGCATAAATTCCATTCAAACACAGGATTCTGTCTGGTCAGTGTCAGCCTCTTCCTCTGAATCCTGACAGCGCCTTCAAGGCGGGAAGAAGTTCATTTCTTCTGATAATGGAGCAATAAATTCCCTTTCTCTGAAAGATTCAGGTGTCCTGTGGCTGCTATCTCACTGTGAGTTTTTTCTTTAAGAAAAGTATCCTACATAGCATCGTTTCTATTTTAACAATTTTTATAACCTAAAACTATATTTCACACACTACACAAGAGAATTAATACAGCATTACTTTCTAACACAACACATATAATATTTGCAAAAAGCCAATCATAAAATACATGCATTTTTCACAAGCACATGTTTCTTTTCACACCTGCTTGACCTCTGCCTTTGCTGCCAACCTGAGCTCCCCCTGTTCATCACAAGGAGGTAACAGAGAAGAGTACTGGCGCTTTCTGAGGCTTTAAAGCAAGAGCTGTGCTGGTTTGGCTCTTAAAAATACAGCATCCACATATTTTACTCTATGATACTTTATACACTTCTTCAGACTCCTCCAGACACTCAAGTACTTGATCAATTTTAAGTAACTGATTTGTAGATTCAGCTGTCACAATTAAAGCATAATTCCATCAGGCTGTTTGGTCACTTAATCCCACCCACAGCAACTACAGCCAGGGCATTCCATGCTGCTGTTTGCCTAATTTTTCATGTCTATCATTGACATCTCACATTGCTTGGGTAGGATGCAGGATATCTTCAGCCTCTGGTTTCCAATCATGCCCTTAAACAGTTTGAGAATACAGAAATTCTGTTTTTCTGGTGATATGTGCCTTGGATTGTCTTGGTGAGTATTTGTTGTGTGAAATATTGCTCCCTAAATTTATTTTGTATCTCCCTGTATTTTGCAGCTGGAATCCTTGAGTTATGTTTAAAGCTATGCTGTTCACTTGTTTTGGTTTTTTTTTTCCTCCTGCTAACATGAATAAACCATGGTGTTAAATGTTCGGAGACCTTCCATCTCCCCAGGGAGAAAAACCTTCCCCTCATGTGACGGTGTTCACAGGGGTTCTTGGATGAGGGAAGGGACGAGGATCTGACTCCATGTTTCAGAAGGCTGATTTATTATTTTATGATATATATATTACATTAAAACTATACGAAAAGAATAGAAGAAAGGATTTCATCAGAAGGCTGGCTAAGCTAAGAATAGAAAGGAATTATAACAAAGGCTTGGGGCTTGGACTCTCTGCCCGAGCTAGTGATTGGCCATTAATTACAAACATCCAAGATGGTCTAATCAAAGATCCACCTGTTGCATTCCGCAGCAGCAGATAATCATTGTTTACATTTCGTTCCTGAGGCCTCTCAGCTTCTCAGGAGGAAAAATCCTAAAGGAAGGATTTTTCATAAAAGATGTCTGCGACACCCTTGCTTGCCTGATGTCCAGCTTGTGTTCTGTTTCCTGGCAGCCAACGGGACCTCCAGCAGCCAGCTGTCCACCCCCAAGTCCAAGCAGTCGCCGATCTCCACGCCCACCAGCCCCGGGAGCCTCCGCAAGCACAAGGTATTACGTTTCTTATACCTTACTACACCTCCTTCTGCCTCAGCCCCTCGGCTCTGGAAATGGCCATATCCTCTGGAAAAATAGCAACAACTCATGTTCAAACAGGGCAGTTTGGCTCTTCACCTGTAAAAGCTGTCCTTTAGGGCAAGGTGGTGAGCAAAGCCTGACTCCTCCTCTGGAGTTGTTAATGTGTGCTGGAGACCATCCAAAGGGATCAGAGGAGACAACTTATCCATGAGCTTGTGCCACTCTTTGAAAAAAATCATTGATGGATGTGGTTTCATGTCAACCCTCCTGGCCTGAAAAGCTTCAAGCATTGGCAAATCAGGCCCATTAAAGAGCAGAAGCAACACAAATGTTACTGGAGCTCTCAGACATCACTTTAATGATGCTCCTGAAGAATTTAAGGGTTTTTTTTTTTTAATTATTTAAGGCCATGCTCTGTTTTACAGGAATCAGGTGATTCTTACAGCTGGTGTGGTAATTGTGTTGTGGAACAGGCCAACAGGTAGCACAGCATCCTGGCAGGGATCAGGAAACCTGTGCTGGCTCATGGATAATTCATGCATTGATTTATTTAAAAGGTACAGCAGCTGTCACAGCTTTTTCAGTTCCTGTTATTGAGGGCCACTCTGTGCTGAGTTCTGACTTTCATTTCTGTGGGCCTTTGCATTTCTGGAATAGTCACAATGCTGCTTCCAACAGTTTTCACTTGATCCGGGAATTGGAGCTTGGGCACAAAAGTGAGAGGAAGTCAGGTGGGTTTCTCTTTAGTAAAACAAAATGCACCTCTCAGCCTGACTCTGAAAGCATTGACTCAAAGATTTTGAAGAGTAATTTAAAAATCCTGGTGGTGCTGAGGTTTTGCAGTCAGCAGCCATCTGGAACCCACCGTGGGGCAGCTTGCAGGGGTTGAACTAATTCTGTTTAACAAAGGCATAGCTGAATCCAAATGAAAACTGTGTTTTCCTCAGGACCTCACTCTGTTCTCAGCTGTTCAATCTAAGTTTGAGAAAACACAACAAATTTAACACAATGTGTCCACATTTATTATTAATTTATAATTGAAGACAGAATCTGACTCATGGTCTGAGTTCATCACTTCAGCAGAAATGATGCTGCAAACTGCATCCTTTGCTTCAGAATTAGGAGCACTAAATATTTTCCAAACTTTCCAGCTCATTGAGAACTTTGGAGGTGAGGATTTGTTTCTTGGTCAAGACAAGTAAAACTCACCTTTTTAATGTTTTATGCATGTTTGCAGCTGGCTGATTTATGACCTTTCCAATGCAGCCCTGAGATCATTTGTAATAGATGGAGACTGCTGAGGGCAAAGCCAACCCAGTTATGATTTTCTCCACTAAGTTAAGCCAATCAGCAAACACAAATTCAGCATTTTAGGTTACCAGAATATTCATACACCATTGTCTTTCTCCCAGAAGCAATTTCCTGCTTATGATGAAATCACTTTTCTCTCCTTAAAGCTCAAGTGATAAATGCTTAAGTTGAGTTCACCACAAAAGTCCTATTTTACCTCTTCTTATATCAAGATTTCTGGGATTTCTTTCCCAAATACTTGGTTTTTTCTTCATTTTGCTCACAGTTATTACCTGTGTGTGGGTCAGAGCTCAAAAAGGTCCCAGGGGAGCTCTTGAGCTCATTCCTGCACTTTGTCCCACACAGAACTTTTAACAAATGCAATAAATTGGTTACACCAGAAAGGGACACAGCAAAAGCTTTACATTGAGCATTTGATCCAAATAACAAACTTGGGATTATTTTATTAACCTTTCCAAATGATTAGAAGTTACTTAAAATAAAGAATAAACCATGGAACATGTGATTTTCCTGGATATTTGTCCTGAGGGCAGCTGTCAAACCAAGGTAAGACTTTATTTTGGATTTAGGTTTACAGAGATGTGTTTAAGGCACGATGCTGCTCTTCCATGCATGTGCTGGAATGGCCACATTGATCCAGAACACCAAAAAAACCATTTCTGAAACTTATCCCTGAATAGTCATCAGGAACAGAGATGCACTTGCTGGAATGGACACATTGATCCAGAGCAATAAAAAAAAAGCAGTTCTGAAATTTATTCCTGGCCAGTCATCAGGAACAGAGATGCTCTTGCTCTTGCTGGACACATTGATCCAGAAGAATACAAAAAACATTTCTGAAAGTTATTCCTGGCCAGTCATCAGGAACAGAGATGCTCTTGTTCCTCTGTGCAAGAAGCCTGCCTTGATTTTAGCCTTGAGCTCCTTGGATTCTGGTGAGCCCAACCCAGCCACCAGCACATTCCACCCTCTGGAATGTGAATTTCAGCCTCTCAGCTGCTTCCCTTTGCGTGGCCAAGGGTGGGAGCTGATGGTGAGGGTTAACATTTTCCCCTTTCTCCCTACAGGACTTGTACCTGCCTCTGTCTTTGGATGACTCGGATTCCCTGGGAGACTCCATGTAGAGCGAGATGTCCACGTTGCATTTGGGATACAGCAAAGTACCTCTGCCACACAAGCAGATCGGTGACTGGTGCTTTCAAGTCAAAGGACACGCAGTTAAATGTCATTTTTGTTCTGTGATTTCTCCTCTCTGTGCCACAAACCAACACCTGCCAGTCTATAGAGATAGAGGGATACCATTCTTCTTAAGTCACAGGGGTGCAAAATGGGCATTGTGAGAAATTTGGGGCCTCCGTGCCAAGGATTCTGTGCATTTCCCATTTTCTTCTGTTGTTTCCTCTGCTGCTGCAACCATGTGGTTTTCCTGGTGTTAGTAAAGTAGTTCCCCTGGAGGTGTGCAAATGGAGCCCTTGCTGGGCAGTTTGCAGGTGATGTTCTCCACCTGTGCAAACTGCCAGCTCACCTGCTCCTCATTCACAGCCCCAGTTTTGGCACCTGCATTCTAAAGAGTCTTGGTTTTATTGTGGAGAGCAGGAAGGGAATTTCTAGTTGGATGCTTAATATGCCAGCAGAAGCTTGGATGAGATTAGGAATGATTGTGTCAGATGCTAAGTAAGGTTTGTACAATAATTCAAATTATTCAAATATTGTTTGGGATTTTTTTAAAATAATTAAGCAAAAACCCCCATAAATCAGCTGAGTTATCTGGTGTAGAACATCTTCCACATGCAATGCTGCTAGCTGGTAACAAATATTTATACCTCCCCTATGGTATCTCTCTATCTCTGTTTGTAACAGTAATGCCTTGTGAACAGCCAACACTGAAAACACTGTGAGAATTTGTTTTCAGGTTTGACACCCTATAGGTCACTTTTTATAGCAAAAAAATCAATACACTTTTTATAAAGGAAAACCTTTTATCTGTGTTTTGGGAGTAAGGATTCAAGCTCCTTCTTTTTTATAAAAGCTGGTAATTTTCTTTTGTTTAAAAAACACGTTCAGAAAAAAAAAAAGTACAAAAAAAACCAACCACAACTGCAGAACAATAATAACAGCAACTCAGTTTAGAAATCCTGTCATCACTGCCAAAACAGACACGTGTAGGGGGGAAAAATGGTCAATTCAAAATATTGAATGTTTTGATAGTTTTTTGTAATGTTTAAGACTACGTATTTGGTTTTTTACACTTCAGTATTCCTAACTATGGCCAGATTCTCTACTTATATAACAAATGAAGTTTTGTGGTGTTCTAAAAACCTGTATTTTAAGAAACTCTTCTATCTGAGAAAAACAAACTCGCTGTATTTAGAGAAGCTTTTGCTTTTATTAATCAGTAATGCCTCCTCCAGAATGCAAAGTTCATCTCCTCACGCAGGGCTGGTGGTTTTTACTGCGCCAAAGCTTCGTCCTAGGCCAGCTGCCACTGCCTCCCTCCCTCATGGAATAAGCTTTGATGAAACTGATTCTTGCAGAACTTTACCTATTTGAAATCTGTGCAATCAAGCCTTTCTTTGTTGCTCTATTTGCTTTTTTTCTTTCTTTTTTTTACCAACATAGACACCTACTCCCTGTTGCCTTGCAGCCCCTTGTGGTTAGGATGGATTTCATCCTCGTGATGTTTGATGCTCCATGAATGCTGGGTTGTTCCCAAAGCCACTCCACGTTTTGTTTGCTTGCATTGCTGGGATGAAGCAATCTGTGCAGGCTGCATCTTTCGAGGCTCGTGTGATCATACTTATAATGCAACTTTTTAAAAGAGATTTATCAGAGAGAGGCCAGGATTGGGAATTGTCAAGGGGTCAGAGTTATCATGCACCAAATTTGCACCCAGTAGTCTTAGTGCATGATCATTTACAGCCAGAGTTTTGCACAAGGAGCCATTTGTTCTCACTGATAGCTTCATTTGATTGAATAACTCTCTGACTGCACAACTGCTAAATGGTCATTTTAAATATTGTAAATAGAATCTGGGGTTAGTTCACAGGCTAAGGGCTCATTGAGGGTTTGTGGGGGGGAAGGATGATGCTGTGGACAAAGCTTGGGTGCAGCAGTCAGCACACCTCTAAGCCCTTGGCACTGCTGAATTTTGTGTCTGAATGGGAGCAGGTCTCTGAGTAACCCTGTGCCTCAATCTGTCTGTCTGTCCCTGCAGGGACAGCTCTGTTCTACCTCACTGGGGGTTGTGAGGCCAAATGTTGGTTAACATTAGTCAAGTGCTTTCAGATCCTCTAACAGAAGGTGCTGAAATATTCTGGGTGCAGATTTGGTTATGGGTGCTAATTTTTGGCTGTTTAATCCTGTGAGTGCTACTGCAGAAGCTGGTCATGAGCAAAAAGGATTTTTTTCAGCATAAGGATGTCAAAGGCCTTGGTTATGCTAATAACAATATTATTCATCAGAGCTTTTGTCTTAGGGAAAGCTTTAGTGGGACGGATAACTTGACATGCTCTTACCCTCTCCTCTGTTGTGCTGGTGGAAGTCTCAGAGTCCCTCCCTGAGTCTCTGCCTGTGCAGGGACCCTGAGCAGTCACCATGGATGGACTGGAGCTGCAGCCCAGGGTGTTGTCACACACAGCCCAGGCCTCTGTCACACTCTGTCACTGTGACAGAGGCCATTGCTGTCACAGTCAGGGTGAGCCTGTCCTGCCACCTTTCCTCAGACAAACAGGAGACCAGCCATGCAGCCCCACCCAGGTTCTCGTGCTGCTCAGTGCAGGATGCTCACCACAGATCCAGCAGGACACCCAAATCTGGGCTGCTCTCTGCAGCCTGAGCTGCTGGTGGGGGAAAGGAATCTGGGAGATGCTCTCACCCAGTTTGTGTAAGAGAAAGCAGGATCCCAAGGGAGGAAGGATGCTTTGTTGGGATGGTTGTTGAGCAGGGGCTCCTTTCCTTCCTGCCAGAAGCTCTGTTTGGTTATTTGGAGATGCTTTTCCTGGCGCAGCATCACTGAGCTCTTCCTCTTGAGCTGCACCTGGTGACACATCCCAGACCTGATCCTGCCAGCTCTCCCTTGGGAATGCAGCTTTGTTTGCATCAGGATCATCCTGTGGTGGGGCTGAGCCCAGCAATTCCTTCAGGGAATTAGGGGGACCTTGAAAAGGCCTAAAAGGATTAAAATTAATTGTTCAGTGGGAAAAATAGCCATTCAAACCAGCAGAAGCCACAAAGAAAACAGGGTATGAGGTCAGACTCCCAAGTTTTAAGAAGCAATTTTCTAGGTAGAAATGCCTGGGCAGTAGAAGTCAGTGAGCATTTCAGCTGTAGCATAGAGTGAAGTCTGTATTAATGCCAATATTGCATGAGTTCTTGTACAGAAATGCATGTGGAATGTGACATACATTCAGAACTAGTTATCTTTGGCTTTGTAGGATCCCTCATCTAGATTTGAATACAAAGAGAAACAGTGCACAGGCATCAGACCTTAGTTACTGAAACAGAAGAACAGCTGTGATTCAGGAAAAAAACCTAAAAGCTTAAATTTTAGCACGTGCTTTACTCCTGTTGACTTTTCACGAGATAAGGCTTGGATTTGGTCAGAAAGCTTTCCTGAACTGCTGTGAATTAGTAATTACTTCCAATTTACTATGGCAATTCCAGACCCTGTGAGATCCTGGAGCAATGATAGTAATTCCACTATATACTCCACAGTTCACCTTTCATATTTTTATTTTTTTTTACATTTACAAGCACATAAAGCTCCACATGATATGAGGATTTGCCAAATTAATTCTGCTATAAAAACCCTGTCTAATTTGCCTCATGAGGCTGCCTTTAGTGTTTTCAGAGACTAATTGAATCACTGAGACTATATTGTTTTAAAACAATAGAGTATTTAAAAACAAATTGGAGAAACTCTTGAAGTAGCAGGGCTTTGTTTCTTTGAAATCTGTCTTTATTCATAATAATTTAGCAAATTTGCATATTAAGATCCCTGTTTCAGGCGCAGTCATTAGGAAGGAATTGTACAGACAGAAAGGTTTAGCATTTTTACACTCAGGTGATGGTCTTGACTGTAGAAGATGAGAGCAATGCAGCAAAACCTTCAGCCTTGGGATTTTTATCACTTGTAAAGCATTTATAATCCTGAAGTTTCTGGTTTAAAGCCTCGTCTGGTATATGATTTGGAGCTAGTTCAGTTCCACCAGCTAAATATCTTGAAGTGATTTGGAAAGAGTTTGATAATGAGATTTTACTTTGTGGTGGGTGTTGGGAGCAGCTTTTCCCTACCACTGTCTGTGTTTCCAATATCTGCACATTATTTATTGTCTTCTCAGGAGCTAGAAACCCTAATTGTGTTATTTCCATAGATGATAGAAGAATCCTGCTTAGAAAACAACTTCCCCATCTCTCTCACCCTCAGCTAACACACGTGTAGGCACAAAAAAATCCACACACTTGGTCGAGATGCCATTTCCCTCTCATTTGCTTGTTCAGTACTTTTGAAGGGGAAAAAAAGGAGGCAGAACCAAAAATTGTGGCAAACAGCAAAGCAGTGTCACACCCAGGCATTTCCAATTGGAAGCAAGGGCATTAAAGTGCTGGTTTCTCCTTAACCACATGGATAAGATTTCCTGGGATGCCTTCTCTTTGCCTTTTCATGCCTTTGAGGTCAGGGCTGCTCTTCCTGCTGCTTCCCAGCACCCTAGAAACCTTAATTGTGTTATTTCCATAGATGATAGAATAATCCTGCTTAGAAAACAGCTTCCCCATCTCTCTCACCCTCAGCTAACACACTGTAGGCACACAGAAATCCACACACTTGGTCGAGCTGCCATTTCCCTCTCATTTGCTTGTTCAGTACTTTTGAGGGGGAAAAAGGAGGCAGAACTAAAAATTGTGGCAAACAGCAAAGCAGTGTCACACCCAGGCATTTCCAATGGGAAGCAAGGGCATTAAAGTGTTAGTTTCCTTATGGATAACATTTCCTAGAATGCCTTGATTTTGCCTTTTCATGCCTTTGAGGTCAGTGCTGCTCTTCCTGGTGATTCCCAGCACAGCCTGTGGGATGCTCTGGGATTCCAGGCTGGATCCCTACCCAGACACTGTTCCAGGGACAGCCATCCCTGGAAGTGACATTTTCTCTGCAGGCCTCCAGTGTGGATTTTGCAGCCTGAGCCTTCCCCAGCGTGCTGAGAGCACTGGAGTGATTTTATTGCTGACATCTGTGGTGCCCCACAGCCATGCAAAGCAACCAAGGGCTCTCTTCCATTGTAGCAGAGGCAGAATCATTTTTAGAGAAAGGGATAAAAAATAGCCAAGTAAAGTAGATATATAAAATTAGCCTAGAAAGTGTCTCCTCAAGCTAAGACAATCCATAACCAGAGGAAAGCTCTGTAGTGGTGTGTTTGCCACACGCCAGGTGCTGATCATGGCCATGGTGGAATAAAACAGCTTTTTTTTCCATGTGGTGACTTAGGCTGCAGGTCAATTTTCTGGTTGCTGATGGAAGCAGGCTGGGACAGTGTTTGGGACTGGTGAGGTTCTTTGTAGAAGCAAATGGATGGCACGAGAGGAGGATCTTTTTTCTGTGTATGCAGAGTCAGGCCAGTCCATGCAACAGGACAAGTGCTTTACTCAAGACACCTGGAAGGGATCCAGCTGGAACCCCACCCTGGTGTGGTGAGAGCAGGAAGGTGAAGATTTTAAGTGCCTTCTAACACCCCCTGGGCTTCAGAAGCAGCACTGTGCATGTGCCCAGCAAGGCCTGGGGTTCAATGACCTTGAACAAGGGAGACAGGGCACACTTCAATTCTTGAGGTATTTAGCCCATCTCTTAAAATTTGCTGTTTCCAGAACCACAGAATTCTGGGACAGAAAGCCTCTGTCCCAGCTGCTTGAATCTGAGCCTCTCCACAGTATCTCAGGAAATGTTACAGCTGAGCCTTGTGTCTCACAGCTGCTCCTCACTGTGGAGTGAACAGCGCTGGGCTCTGCTGCAGTCATGTTTGATTCTGCTGTTCAGATGTTCTTCATCCTCCTCCTCTGCTCCTGGCTCAAGAGCTGGCTTCTCCTGGTGCCTGCAGGTGAAAGGCTGGGGGCAGCAATGTACAGACCCCTCTTTGCTTTGTTTTGTTTCCTCTGGAACAGTTCTAGTCAGTGATGACTGAAGGTCTGAGGCCAAGGTGACAAACCCACGTTTTAACAGGGAGAGGGGAGATTTTCAGGGAATATAAGTAGGTGGGTGGAAAGGGTTTTTCCTGCAGTGCCATTGCACAGCTGCTCTGACAGGATCCCAGCTGCAGGGCAGGTGTGAGTACAACACCTGCAGAGGAAGATGTGGAGTTTTGGGGTCACAGACCACTGTCCACCCCTCAGGACACTGCTTAGAGGAGGTTAAACATATCAACACCTATTTTTGGCCAACAGATCAGCTTCTGGGCAAATGAGAAACCTAGTGGATTCAGCAGTGCGGTTTCAGAGCCATTGGGGTTTCAAAGCTGTTGGGATGTGTCACTACTCTGGACAGATCACTTCTCCTTGTGCCAGTGCACAGAGGGCTGCTCCCAATACTTCCCTCCACTTGTAGGGTGCTTTGACATAAGTGATACAAAGAGCTTGAATTTAAAACGTATTCATTGCTCAGCATCTCTGAGCATTTCTACAGAAGCAAACTGGAAAGTCTCTCACAGAACTCTGGCTCCCT